ATCGCGCCTCCTTTCCTCGCGCTCTCCTCTACCATCGCGCCTCCTTTCCTCGCGCTCTCCTCTACCATCGCGCCTCCATTCCTTGCGCTCCTCCCCACCATCTCGCCTCCACCATCGCGCTCTCTTCGCGCTCCCCTCTACCATCACGCCTCCTTTCCTCGTGCTCTCCTCTACCATCGCGCCTCCTTTCCTCACGCTCGCCTCCACCATCGCGCCTCCTCTCCTTGTGCTTCTCTCCACCATCGCGCCTCCTTTCCTCATGCTCCTCCCCACCATCGTGCCTCCTTTCCTCACGCTCCTCCCCACCATCGCGCTCTCCTCTATCGTGCCACCTCTTCTCACACTCGCCTCCAGCATCGCGCCTCCTTTCCTCGCCTCCACCATCGCGCCTCCTCCACCATCGCGCCTCCAGCATCGCGCCTCCTCTCCTGGTGCTCCTCTCCACCATCGTGCCTCCTTTCCTCGCACTCCTCTCCACCATCGCGCCTCCTCTCCTGGTGCTCCTCTCCACCATCGCGCCTCCTTTCCTCGCACTCGCCTCCACCATCGCGCCTCCTCTCCTTGTGCTTCTCTCCACCATCGCGCCTCCTCCACCATCGCGCCTCCTTTCCTCATGTTCCTCCCCACCATCGTGCCTCCTTTCCTCACGCTCCTCCCCACCATCGCGCTCTCCTCTATCGTGCCACCTCTTCTCGCTCTCGCCTCCAGCATCGCGCCTCCTTTCCTCACACTCGCCTCCAGCATCGCGCCTCCTCTCATTGTGCTCCTCCCCACAATCTCGCCTCCACCATCGCGCCTCCTCCACCATCGCGCCTCCTTTCCTTGCGCTCGCCTCCACCATCGCGCCTCCTCTCCTTGTGCTTCTCTCCACCATCGCGCCTCCTTTCCTTGCGCTCGCCTCCACCATCGCGCCTCCTCTCCTTGTGCTTCTCTCCACCATCGCGCCTCCTCTCCTTGTGCTTCTCTCCACCATCGTGCCTCCTTTCCTCGCACTCACCTCCAGCATCACGCCTCCTCCACCATCGCGCCTCTTCTCCTTGTGCTCCTCCCCACCATCTCGCCTCCACCATCGCTCCTCCTCTCCTTGTGCTTCTCTCCACCATCGCGCCTCCTCCACCATCGTGCCTCCTTTCCTCGCGCTCACCTCCAGCATCACGCCTCCTCCACCATCGCGCCTCCTCTCCTGGTGCTCCTCTGCACCATCGCGCCTCTTCTCCTCGTGCTCCCCTTCACCATCGCGCCTCCTCCACCATCGCGCCTCCAGCATCGCGCCTCCTCTCCTGGTGCTCCTCTCCACCATCGCGCCTCCTTTCCTCGCGCTCCTCTCCACCATCGCGCCTCCTTTCCTCGCACTCGCCTCCACCATCGCGCCTCCTTTCCTCGCGCTCCTCTCCACCATCGCGCCTCCTTTCCTCGCGCTCCTCTCCACCATCGCGCCTCCTCTCCTGGTGCTCCTCTCCACCATCGAGCCTCCTTTCCTCGCACTCGCCTCCACCATCGCTCCTCCTTTCCTGGCCCTCCTCTCCACCATCGTGCCTCCTCTCCTGGTGCTCCTCTCCACCATCGCGCCTCCTTTCCTCGCGCTCCTCCCCACCATCGCGCCTCCTTTCCTCGCGCTCACCTCCACCATCGCGCCTCCTCTCCTCGCTCTCGCCTCCAGCATCGTACCTCCTCTCTGCAGGATGATGTCACCACTCCTCTCCCTTCCTCACAGTGTTTCTCCTCTTCACCTGCAGCCTGCGACAGCATCTTTGCTGTGGTGTCTCTGCCGCACGGCCCACGTTAGTATGACCTTCCTGACTCTCCGTACGCCTGCTCCACAGCTCACCTGCGCCCCACACATCACACCTGTCTGTCTCTCACTTGTCTCAGTGTGTTTCAGGTTTCTGTTCCATTGTTATTGATTGCTCATTGGTATAGAGGATATTGATTAGACTTCCTGTTGTGTCTCACCTGTGCATGATGTCACACCCATTGTATTAGTTTGTCTCCATAGAAACTGGCAGCTGTGTTACTGTCTCTGCACCGGCCGAGATGAAAGAAGGCGTCAGGGAAGTTCAGTGAGTTCTGATCCGGCGGCTCGCTCGGACTCTGGCGTCTCTTGGTTCGGGCAGCAGTTGTAGTTTGATGCGTTGGCAGGCTGATGTTGGGCTGCGTAAACTGGGAATGTTCCTCATCCCCATCACCCTTGGGGAAGGAGGGTGCTCTAAGGTGGGGGAGGTAGCTCAGGTCATCTACTAATCCAAGGTTGGTGGTTCGATCCCTGGCTGCTCCAGGCTGCGTGCCAATTATCCTTCCAAGATACTAAGTTGCTCTCTGACGCATCCATCGGAGTGTGAAGGCCAGAAAAAAGTGAAAGAGGCCTGCTGTAAAAAGACTGGAGTCCATTTTCCAGCTGGATACAGTTGGACTCCAGTGTCTCGTGGTTCAGGCAGCACACGATGGCCGAGGTCTTGGCAGGCTGCTCTCAGGCTGCGTAAACTGGTTTTGGGGACGAGCATGAGATGTACCGGCTCACCTGAGTCCACTCGTACCTTCCTGGTTCTGTACCTGTTCGCTGGAACAGGACTCGTCTTTGAGTACCTGACGTGCTTGGATGAGTGCGCTGTCTGCTGTTCTTCCATGCACACAGTCACAGTGAATCCTGAAGGGAAAGTTAAAAGTTCCTCGATCAGCTGAGGGTAACATGGCAGGCAGGCCTGGGACATTCGTCTACCACCTCCACAGCATCCTGAGTAGGGCTGGGTATCGTCACTGATTTCTAGAATCGATTTGGTTCTATTTGAATCTGTGAAGTTTTGCCTCACACAGTCAGAAATATCATAATTCTGATCATTTATCAGTACATTTCCATATTTTTATATGTATAAAAAGAAAGCTGAGACTTCATCAGAGGTGTGAGCATCACAGCAGATGCCCTTGGTTCAAAGTAATTGAGGATAAAACAGAAAAACATGAAGCAGAAATGAGCTTCTGGGGTCAGCTTTAGAGGTCCTCCACATTGAAAGGAGTCAGTTTAGGTGGTTCATGCGACCAGGATACCCTGGAGAGATGACTGGTCAGTGTCTGTTGAGACCGCTGCACTGGACGGATGATCTTACTTTTATTTTGGTTTTTTAAGAAATTCTAACTTTTGAATTAAGTACAGGGCTCTAGACTAACTTGTTGCCGTGGTTACACTGGTTACACTAACTTGTTTTCTTATGTGCACCAGCACAAAAGTTAGGTGCGCCCAAGTTTTTCAACCGCCTTAACCCCGCCTTTTTACTTGTTCCAACTGCTGTCCATACAGACAATATTGATTTGTAAATGATTAACTATCAATCTTGTCAACACAAAGTGCTTTATTTGGAGCACATTTCTGCAAGAAGGATAAGTTCCTGAAAAGGTGCTTGTGCTTAAAGTGCTTTGCCTACAGTATTGCTAAAGAGTGCCAATGTTAAACTTCATCATCATGTCGGCCTCCTGACGACCTGTTTGCTGCTGAAAGGCAGTGAGGGGACACTGGGCGTTTAACGCAGCTTATAATGTGTTCTCTGGATACACCGTGCTTTTCAGCGTTTCACTTTGAAATTTATTAGAAGCAGTCACAAATGCAGTATTGCCGGCCACGGTCTCTCCACACTCACAACAGTAAATGCAGTGCATCATGTTATCAGCTTCACTGAATCTTTTCCAAAAGTATACACGTTCCTCCTTTTACTCTCAGTGGGCTCTGGCTCGGGGTCCATCGTATGTGGCTCATTATCTGATGCCGTCTCCGGACCGGTGTTAGATGTAAGCTGAGCAATCCATGGCTCCGTGTCAGAGCACTGGCTATGAGTTTCAGACGGATCAGGCCTTAATGAAAACACTATCAATCGTTCTTTTCATCTTTTCTTATTACCCACAGCTACATCCACCTCTGTCAGGCCTAGGCTGTTCACTAAGGTTGGGTATCACTGATTTCTATAATCCATTCGATTCTGATTCACAAGGCCCCGATTCGATTCAATTCAATTTTTCCTCAGACAGTCAGAAATATTATAATTCTGATCATTTATCAGTACTGTGTGAGCATCACAGCAAATGCCTTTGTGTCAAAGTAACTGAGAATAAAACAGAAAAACATTATGGAGATTTTCCTGGCCTGGATTTTTATAGCAGATAACCTTAAAATATCTGCAGTAGATTAAAAACTGAAGAAAACCATGAATCAACATGAAGTGAAGTGGAGTCAAGTTATAGAGGTTTTATTAGACAGCGTTTTGTAATTTGGTATCATTTTAAGTTTAATTTTCTTTGGTATTAAACAGCAGAAATGAGGCTTTGTTCAATTCAGTTCAATTCAATTTTATTTACACTGCGCCAAATCACAACAGCATTCACCTCAAGGTGCTTTATATTGTACAGTAGAGCCTACAATAATAGATAGAGAGAAAAACCCAACAATCATATGACCCCCTATGAGCAAGCACTTTGGCGACAGTGGGAAGGAAAAACTCCCTTTTAACTCTCCTGTTATGTTGGTTTCCAGGAACACCAATTATGCTCCTGGGTTAATTTGACCCAGGGCAAATTTACTCATCCAAAAGTGTTAGAAACACTGGCATTGATTATTTTACAATTTTCTTTCGTTTTCTGTAGTCATGCAGATGACATGTGAAATCTCTTCTGTGCTGGGTCAATGTGACCCGCAACATAACAGCTCTGAAACCTGACTGAAACTCTTCAAATAAGCCTCTGCAGATGATCTGTTAGCTGTTTGACAACTACTCTTTCAAGGATGTTTGATATGAAAGGAAGGTTGGAGATTGGCCTATAATTAGCTAAGACTGCTGGGTCTAGAGATGCTTTTTGAGTAAAGGTTTAACTACAGC